AAAGTCTCTATTATATACCTCCTCTTAGGGAGAACTTATAGGGGAGATATAATATAACTAGCCTAGACTAAGGTTAATATATCTACTAGGATGCTAGTATAAAAGCTATAAGTAGCCTATCTTTAAATATAGACTAAGGAGTCTAATATCTATATAAGTGTTTAGGTATTAAGCCTAAGTATATAATAAAAGTAAATAAAGGTAGGAACTTTTTAAAGTATACTATTAACTAATCTTAATATCTTTAGATAGATTTAAGTAAGAGTATAGCTATTAGAACTTAAAAGATAGTAAACTATACTTAAATAGGGTAAAGCTAGAGGAAACTCTAGTAGAAGCTTATAGTAGTTCTAATATATAAATTAATTATTAAATTTAGATATAGAGGTAAAAGACTAATTAAACTATCTAGTAGCTAGTTCCTACTAAAGTTTCCCTTAGGATAGTAGTAATGTTTTTAGTTTTATAAGGTAAAGCAAATAATTAGAGGCCTAGAGGTTAAAATAACCTTTACCTATTCTTAAACTTTAAATATATAAGAAGTCCTTATTACTTAATTAAATATAGATAGCTAAATATATTATTACTAGTAGGCTATTTTTAGTAAGTAGAACTAGTAATATAGAATAAACTAAATATAAGGTTAAGGTACTAGAATATATGCTTATTAGATACTATAAAAGGTATTAGTTTATCTAGATAGTAGGATAGTAGCTATAGAAGTTAGAATCTACTAAGGAGTATATAATAACTTACCTACTAAATAAACTAGCCCTAAAAATAGATAGTACTTAAGTATATTACCTATACCCTACTACTAGGGCAAGATTTAAGCCCTAGTAAGTAGGTAGGTATAGAGGTCTATAATAAAGCCTTAGGGGTAACCCTAGGTTAAACAGCCTCTAGTATAGATCTTAGTAGTAGTAGTAAATACTTAAATAAGAACTTTAAGAACTAAAGTAGAGAAAGGTTCTATGTAAATAGTAGTTAGATATAGGTTAGTTAATCCTAAGAGGAAAAGAAACTCTGTTTTAATATAGGTGCTTATGCCCTACTCTTAAAAGAGAAGCTAGTTAATATTCTAGCACCTAGATATAGATTCTCTATAGTAATATAACTAAGAGTAGAGACCTTAGTAGGAGCTCTAAGAAGAGTTCTCTTTTCTTCTTAATAGTCTATTACCTTAAAATTAGTTTATCTAGAGCTAGGGTTTAATAGCTAGAAGAGCGCTATACTTTTATAGTATTTAGTACGCTCCTAATAAGCCTTAAAAATCTATATAAAGAAACAGTTTTTATACTAGGTTATACTTATAACTATAGTAGGTCTCTAAAGTAAAAAGCCTCTAGTTAATAGAATAATATAGATAAGAGAAGTTAGTAAAATAGATCTTTAACTTTAGAAAAAGGATTAGCTCTAAGGGTTAGGAATATTAGGCCTTAGGGAGATGCTTTTAGTATAGAAGAGTACTAGCTATAAGGTAGGCACCTTTTAGCACTAGGATGCTAGCACCCTTAGTAGGCTTTAGCTATCTAGTATATACTTAATAACTAACTTAGAACTAGTATAGATAAGAGGAATCTAACTATCTAATTAAAATATAGCATTATAATAGCTAGAAAGTAGTATTAATATAATATAATTTCTACCTAGTACTCTAAATATTAAAGTAAAGAGATTTAACTAAGTATAGGTAAATAGTAGGAGTAATTATAACTCTCTTAAGGTAGCTAAATACCTTATTATTTAATTAGTAATATATATAAATAGATTAATAAGATTTCTACTATTTATATCTACTATCTAGCAAAACTATAGCTAAGGGAATAGGCTTAGCTAAATTAGTAAGGAAAGAAGACCCTATTAAGCTTAACTCTAGTTTAATATTATAAAAAGATATAGAGAGTATAGAATAGGTAGGAGCTTTAGTGCTAGTAAAATACTACTACTCTTATTATTTTTTTACTTATTTAATAAAGTAGAGCTAGACCTTATAGTCTAACTTCTAGTATTAAGGTCCTTTATAGGCTAATCTAGGTTAAAGATATTATTAAGTAGAGAGTTTAGCTAGGGTAGTATATCTATTAAACTATAACATAGGTATCTTAAGAGAGACTTATAAAGAATAGAAATCTTTAGTAGAGTAAAAAGGTAAAAGTCCTCTTAATTTTAATTTTTAGTATAAATATAAACTATAAAAGTATAGCCTATTAATTCTTTAGTCTCTTAAAATTTAAGGCTAAAGGTGCTAGAAAAGTTACTATAGGGATAACTAGCTTATAGTAGCTAAGTATTTATAGTAATATTACTTTTTAATCCTTTAATATTAGCTCTTTCTATTATACTAAAGTAGAATTTAGTAAGTATTAGATTGTTTACCTACTAATAGAAAATATAAGCTAGGTTTAGACTATTATAAGATAGGTTAGTTTTACCCTACTAATAACCTTACCCTAATAGTAATACTACTTAGTATAAAAGGAACTATAGTTTTAGATAATTAGTTTTTATAGCTATCTAACTAGGCATTGCTATAAAGCTACTATCTACTAGATTATAGCTAAACGCCTCTAAGTTAGAATCTATACTAGAATAGAGTAATTTCTACCTATACTAGTTAGATATAAATAGGCCTTTAGCCTAGAACCTTACTAGATTAGCATTAGTAGCCTTATTAAAATTAGGGTTACTAGCTAGTATATTATAATTATATAGTATATAGGATTAAATCCTTTATAGATAACTTAGTTATCTAGCTAGGTTATATAAGTAGTTAAGTAGCCTTATAGTTATAAGCTACTAAGTATAAGCCTACTACTAGCTTAGTTAAAAATAGGATACCTCTTTTCCTATTTATAAGGTAGCTTCTAAAAAGAGTACCTATAGAAGGGGATAAGAGAAGTAGAAGAGATAGAAAGTAAGTAGTAGTAAATTCCTTAAAGGCCTTTCTAGGTTAAGAGGTCCTAGTAGGTTATAATATAAGCAGTCCTAGTAGGTTATAATATAAGGTTAATAGACTATAAGTTAGATAGGTTAGTTCTAGTAGGTTATACTATAAGGCGTCCTAGTAGGTTATAATAGTAGGTATTCTAGTAGGTTATGCTATAGGTATAACTAGTAGGTTAGGGTAGTAATTAAAGTCTTAAGTTAAAATATTAGTTCTAGTAGGTTATGCTATAAGTATTACTAGTAGGTTATACTATAAGTGTTACTAGTAGGTTATAACAAAATTAAAAAACTTAAGTTAAAAAATTATAACTAGTAGGTTATGCTATCGACTATAACGCAGCACCTATAAAACTTATCTATAAATAATAGCAATAGTAGTATAGAAATAATAGCAACTACTAATAATATTAGCAAATTAGAGCTAGGGGGGACTATAAGAGTTTATAAGCTGCGTACCTATATTTCCTATTATTCTAATTATTACCCTTTTAGATCTTATTCTTTAAATAAGCGCAGAAATTCCTATTCTTTAAGATCTTTATTAAGCTAGATAAATTAATAGGAGATAAAGAGGCTAGATCCCCTATTGCAACGCTCTGCAAGGACTGTTGCTAAGCGCAGTTGCAGAGAGATAAGACTAGACACTACTAAGACTAGGGAAAGAAGGAAGAAGTAGAGATAGGCAAGCAGAACTATAGAGATATAAAGCTAGAATCTAATATAAGGAGCAGGAGAAAATAGCTAGAGTTACCTAGACTGTTTAGAAACACCTAGATCGAGGCCTTAAAGCAGGTAGGGCAGCTATCTAACTATCTAGCGTTCCTATAACAGAGATTACCCTATATATTATATTGCTGCTCTCTATTATAGAAGCCTGTTCTAGCTAGCTAATATAGGAGTTTACTAGGTTATAACTTTTTAGCGCTAACAATGCGCAACTATACCTAACTTATATAGTATGCTTAATAATATAAAATACTCTAATACTATAATTTATATAGTTATAATAAAGCTCTCTCTATATACGCAGTCCTAAAAGCAGTTTAGAATACTTTTATTAAGGGAAGCTTAAGCAAACCTATATTTAAGGATAATAGAAGAATTGCTTATTAAAAAAAAATTTAATATCTATATATAAAGGTAATAAATATTGCTAGACTGTTAGTACGCCTAATATACTTCTAATTGCTAGATAACTCTAGATTAATATAGCGCATTGTAGAGAGGGATTCGCGACTTATATAGGAGCCTAAAGCATAAGCTATAGATATAATTTCTTTAGCTTATTTAACTTATATTGTTAAGGAGGCATTAAAGTATAAAGGGTAGTATAGTAGGGGCTTAGTAAAAGTAAGGCGCTTGCCTATAGAGTATATTATCTAATAGTTTTTCTAACGTGTTTAAGTAGTGTTGTTAAGAGAGTATTAGTAGAAGAGGATTGTTTAGTAGAGACTTAGTAAGAGTAAACAGCTTTCTTAAGCAGCTTATTTTATAGAGTATATTATCTAGTAATATATAAGTGTATTGTTTTCTAAATATATATAAGCATCTAATCTAAGCTCTAAAGTAGTAAGATGTTTTAATTATGCCTGCTAAGCAGTTATATAGCGTAGTCCTTTTAACAGATCCCAAATAGGAGCTCCTCTAAAGTCGAAATAAGAGGAGACTAGACAGCACTTAGTGGCTTACTTGAGAATTGGATCCGGGAATCGTATTACCACCTTAGTCTCCAGATGGTCGTCAAAGCGAGCGAAGTATTCGGGCGCCTCCTCGATGCCGATCGTGGAGCTGACAATGAAGCTCGGGCGTGCACGACCACTCGATATCAGCTGAATAAGACCAGGGGCAAGTGGCTCAAGTGCGACTGGCCCACTCCTCATGCTGAGAGACTTGCTGAAGAAGTCGGCCATAGGAAATTCGATAGTGTGTGACAAGGTGTCTGCGAGAGGTGTTCCAGTCGAGTTAGTCGCCGCCCCAAAGATTCCAATCTGCCCCAAACCGCCGCCCGCAGCTGTGACAGCAACCATGTTTCGGATAACTTCCTTCTCACGCGGCTGCCCATGAATGTCGACTGCCTCATAACCAATGCAGTCGAGACTGCGCATTACACCATTTGGTTCTTCCTCTAGGATCTGTTGGACAGGGTCTGAACCATTGAAGTTTATCGGGATTGCTCCGATGGATTTGGCGATAGAGAGTCTCTCAGGAACATGGTCCACGGAGTAAACTCGGGATGCTCCGCGGAGGAGGGCGCTGTATGCAGCAAGAAGTCCCACGGGTCCAGCACCAAACACTGCTACAGAGTCGCCTGGCTGGAGACCAGAATAGTCAATAGCACCCCAAGCGGTGCCCCATATATCTCCTACAAGGAGATAATCGTTATCATATTCAGCAGTGTTTGTACCATTGGTTGCTGGAATTGCCATGAGGTTGGAATCTGAGTATGGAACCCTGGCGTATTCGGCTAAAAGTCAATATTAGAAAAGTCGACAACTTCTGATTGGAAACTTTACCTTGAAGACCACCCGCATCACCATAATCGCTGCCTAAGCCGTATGATACCCGGGTTACATCCAAAAGGCCCTTGTTATCAACACTGTCTGGGATAATCACTCTGTCACCCACTTGAAAGTTGGAAACAGCACTGCCAACTTCGACAATCACCCCAACGCCTTCGTGACCTATGGTGTATGGTACTTCGGCGCTACCATATACACCATGATACACATGGAGGTCGGTGCCGCAAATGCCTGCCGTGGTGATCTTAACGATTGTGTCGCTGGGGCTTTGAATGGTCGGAACAGGAATATCCGTAACGTTCATCTGGAAGGGAATGCCTGCCCAGAGGACAGCGCGCATTGTCGCGTTGAGAGCCATTTGCGGGAAGAACGACAAGTGGCTGTAAAGAGCAAGAAGGATATCACCCACCTCTTGTAATAAATAATTCTAAAGACTTATAATTCGCGTTATATCTCACAGCGTCTCATGAAAAGTCCTTTATAATTTTTTCAGTCATCAAGGCTCCGATATTCTTTGCATGTCATTGTTTGTCTGGGTCTTGGGCGGAGATTTCAGATGGAAGGTACGTCACCATGGAGCCTTTTGATAGGGTCTGCATCTATACAACATGCAGCCTGCTTACCCGCCCTCCACTCACCTGCCCCTGGAGATAAACAAGCCCTGAAAGGGAAGCAGGCATGGGATATTAGATTCACTCCGGAAATCCTGCCCAGACGCACTTGGAGGATTGCGTCATCCTGGGTGCTGGTAATTGCTGCTGAATTTTCACTCTAGATTGCGTAATCGGCCAAGAGTACCAACAGCTGTTATGTGCCATCTTATGCATAAAACAGCTGTGATCAAAGGTAACCCACCTTGCGCAGTCGGTATCGGCATGTATATGCGACACGAGATAGCATCAGTTCGCTGTATGCCTTGGCAGATATTTTACTCAATTCACATTTTAACAACTCAGATTCAAGGGGCTATAAACTGAGACTATATCAGACACGAGGTATCTCATGACCACAATAATATTGAGGCGGAGATTGTACACGTGCACTATGCGAGAGCAGCAGCTAGTCTATTTTTAGGACACTGCGCTAAAAGGGCACAAGTGCATCCATTGCTCAACGTACGCACGGAACGGGCTTATCGGAGCGCATTCTAGCGCTACAGCACTAATAGAAAGCTGTCACTATTGACCGCCCCTGGTGTTGCTACAAGGGTAGTTCCTTCATATTTCGCCGACTTACATGCGCCAAACCCTCGAAAGCCTCTTGTACCCCACATTCAGGGGCAAAGTCCTCATGCATACAGGAGATCCTAGAATTGTGCAATTTCAGAAGGTTGACCGATGGCAGGCGTGACTTCATACCTATCGATCGCTTTTCACCTTACTTGATCGAAAGTAACACACTCGGCGGCAACATTTTGTGGAAGAGCAGGTCTCGTACAAAGGATGATCAAATACGTAGACCCCGGATACATGGAGGAGAACAGGGGCCCTATGCTTTATAGAATCACATTCTCGTTCCTTGCCGCCGCAGTCTTTATGGTTATACTAGGGTGCGAATCCTTTGTCGCCACTGCAATTGCTACTCTGACATATCTCTAGATTATTCAGTTGGTGGTATCTCCTTCGCGCCCGACGAACGACATTGCCGGAGAGCTTGATCATTATAGCAGTCTTGGTCGACATAGCCTCATGCATCTTGATTCACTTCCAGATCCATACAGGAATGGGGAAGCACATTGAATACTCGCGCGCTCGTCCAACAATGCTTATTAAGAGTATGAAAATAGGACTAGCGTAGAACACATGTTATCAGGCGCTAATTGGGCAAGTACCCCTCAGCGATGACCAGATCTTTTGCGATGCTGACGAAGCCCTGTAGGTTGGTCAAGACGAGCATGGTCGTCCATTTTCACCAGCTTGCCCTACCTGGGATACAAAGACAGGTCGTTCTCGTGGTTGGCATCTTTATCTTCGTTTTCACACTGTTCACGGTATTCGTAAGTCTTGCTGCTGTTAAACCTGTCGCTGTCCATGTAAAGCAGCTCCCACTAACGCACTGTCCAGGCTGCCGTATTCCAGTGCATTCCAATGCATGGGCATGGAATCCTGAAGAGTTCCCTAAATGTCGTTACTGAGACTGTTGCATGCTCTCGTTGCATGGCTAAGAGACTGCAGGATGCTGGAATATGATGGGCATGAACCTCGTCACGTCCTCTGTGAATACGCTTGTGGATTTTGTAATCTTTGTGCTTCCACTTCCCACCATACTGAAGCTTCATATAACCTGGAAAAAGAAGGGTAAGCCAACAAACTAGATGTGTCGCAGATGCGGTACTTACATTTTGCAGTTGCTTTAGTCTTAGCTCATTCTATGGGTTTGTTGGCACTTGCATGCTCACTTATCAGGCTAAGGAACATCGTGCACTTTAATGGTGAAGGCGATTTCACTTTCGTCGCTTTAATGGTTCCGGTGTGGGGGGCAGTTGAATGCAGCGCTGGAATTATCTGCGGTGCGTGCGCGCTTATTAGTGAAAGCTCACTACCTCACTATGCTATTACTGACGTTGCCCAGCATCGGTTCCATTCGTTCTACCACTGATAAGATGGATAAGTGGCTCTGTTGCTGCAAGCACGTCCGAGTCATGCCCGAACCCTACATCAGTAGCAGGCCATGAGCTCCGCCGAACCAACAAAAGAAGTTGGGAACTGAAATCTGGGCGTCTATTAGACCGGCATCAGATATCATTTGAATTGATGGAGGCTATTCGAATAAATTGCAAGCTTGCGTCTAAGTCTTCGGTTGGAATGACAGAATATGCAGAGCCGGATGTCTGTAAAGATGTTGAGCCTTCTGAGCTACATAAGGACAATGAACGGGCATTGCATTCTAGCTGCATGTGCGCAACATATCCAGGGCATAGTAGTCCATGGAAAAAGCAACTTGACTGGTACGCAGTCAGCGCAGGAAAGGAGTGAGGGCGTTCAATGTCGAACATATAAGCTGTAAAGATAGACAAGCGCACACGCAACAGATGTGGATAGATAGCAAGAGTTTGATCGAAAACGTCGTTTGATCCTCCTTCATAGTGTATGTTACGGCAGTGCTGCAACAAAGCTGTCGCTTTCTTACTAGTCTGTTGAGTTCTGTGGTCCACTAGCAAGCTATATCAGACAAGAAGAATATTGAATGTGCAGGGGATGAGGTCAAATTGGGTTCAATGCAGCACAATAATTTGCGCCGTCGAGTACCTTGGCTCGCTCAATCAACATAAAGGTGCTCTGAGGGACCGATGTACTTGGTCCGATTGCTTTGACTTGAACAGCAGTGAGTTGGCGTGCAAAACTATCAATCGCCAGGTCAAGCGACCCCTACCCTCGTTTTTTCTGGCCGATCAGTGAGCCCGTGCGCGATCGTCTCCCACCAAACGTGCCTACACACCTACTTACACCCACCATTAGAACCACCACAATGCCTGCAGAGTCAATTGCGCGTCGCAAAAAGTCCAAATTCAAGTCAAATAATGTGATCCGAGCTCCTAAGACTAATCGAACCGAGTTCAGTGTGGTTGCGCGCCCGTTCGCTGTGGGTGCCCTCACGGCAATGCGAGGAGACTACTCATCCCAACGTCAACTCGCCCGCACGATAGGACGCTCACAGGGCACCTTATCAGAGCTTCTGAAACGCGTAGAGGCAAAGGCAAATGACCATACTGTTGCTTTATGGGACGAAATTCTATACAAGAACGACCTGGGTCGAGGAAGGAGCTCACTGTTGACACGTCAAGAGAAGGAGAAGATCGTTCAACTGGCAACAAGCTCACGCGAGGCACGTGAGAAGAAGAGCTGGCAGCCTATTGCAGATGGAGATTTTGAAGACGTCGTACCCGAAATGAGTATAACAACGTTTGAAAACGTCATGTATGAAATTGAGTATGCTCGCCGAGCTCCAGGTTGGAGACCTTCGCTGACCCCTGAACAAGAGAAGGAACGTTACAAATGGGCCCTTGCCCACAACCCCGATAAATATAAGGAATATGACAACCAGGGCTTTGACTTTAGGATAGTAGTCTTCTCGGATGAGACTCCAGCTCGTGTGGGTGAGCAGAGGGGGATGATGCGTATTTGGTTCCGTGGAGGAGAGAAGTACAACGAAGACGTCAAACATGACCGGAATCGATCATACTATTGCCTGCAGTCCTACAGCTGTTTTAGGCATGGATTGAAGGGGCCTTGTCACGTCTATTCTACTGAAACTGCAGAGGAGAAGCTCGCTGCTGAGGGTCATATTCGGGAGCTCAATGCCGATCAGAAGACCCGCGATAACAAGCTACAAATCTACGCACGCCAGGCCTTGAGTAACATTGGAGAAGGAGACGTTGGACGTTAACCAGCGCTATAATACTCGAAAAAAGCAGTATGTTCCAAGTAAGATGGACTATAGCCGTGGGGACCGTGCGCGTGGAGAAGTCGACGGTTACCAACACCGTGAAGGTGCACTAAAGAAGGTCATCCCATGGATCAAATTGCTTAAAAAACAAGGACTTCAATGTATACTACAACAAGATGGAGCTCCTGCTCAAAAGGCTCGAATTTCTCGTGATCTACTTATCGTGGAGAAGATCCATCGGTTGTGGTGGCCAGATCACTCGCCTGAGGTCAACGCATCCGAGCATGCCTGGCCTTGGATTCGGCGGCACGTGACGAAGGATTTCACTCCAAGTTGTAATGAGAAGGAGTGTGAGAAGCAATGGGACAAGGAATGCGATCTTATATCTATAGAGATCATCAATCGTTGGGGAGAAGCAATTCCAGAGCAGGTCAGGAGGATCATTTGACCGGGTGGAAAGAACAACTTTCACGGATAACGCACAGACCTACAACAACAGGAGAACACAAAAAAAAGTTCGGGATAGGTCAATTATATGCAGTTTGCTAGCTTCATCTATTCAGATTATCGTAAAATGCTGTTATTTTGTTGTCGCAATACTATTTAGTATGGGCGTTGTGAAGCCCGATCATGTTGGGTGCCTCGTGCGTTCGGTGATCGGCCAAAAAACGAGCTCCTTCCTAGTTCGGGTATCGGTTTGGCCTTGGCTCAGGTCCTGGTTTGATTACGTGTACTACTTGCGTCAGTTCTGCAGCAGCACAGCATTTCTACTTTGTTTTATGAGACTCTCTACAAACGCACGAACCTTCGAATGTTCCAACAGATCTTCTCGATCTATGCTATTTGTGCATGTAGAGAGTCACATAGATAGTAAATTGTAAATTATCCAATTCTCCAACTCCCATCAACATCATCACGCTCTTTTCTGCGATGTTGTCATCAGCACTTACTATCTGAGAGTAAGAAATAGAATGTGGTATGGGTTAGTCAATCTGGTACCGAAGATTTCTTCTATCTCCACTTCTGTTGTTGAACGAGTGCTCGAAACGCTTCAATGCCCGACATATCATACGCCATCGCTATCATAGTGTTAGAGGGGTAAAGGACAGCTCAATGAACACCCATCTCCGCGCGCAAAAAAAATGTTTAAAAACTGGGTTTGAGTTACGGGTGCCCGCATCTGCATTTGCGCTAAATAAATTTAGGGGCTGTCTACCTTTGACCTGGTTTGCCTGCACTCGCCACCGTACGAGATCGAAGCACGTGCAGTCAGCAGGTTGCATGCGCGCATTTTTCCCGGAACACACAGACTTTGAGTTCTGTACACACCGATCTCCAAAGTGTGCGTGCTCAGGTAACGCAGCTCATGCTTGACAGCGGAGATGAAAGGAGAGCGAAACTGGCCCACATCCGTGTGGCTTTCATGTGCGACTTGGCGCAGAGAATACCGTACGAAGTCAGTGGCAGCCACTTTGGGGGAAGAGACAGTCTAGTTCACAGCAGACACAACTCCTTACTAACAGCACAATTCCATCGTGGTCGAGTGAGTAGTCGTCGAGTAGCCGTTGCATACAATAACCTTCTTCAGACGGCCGTGGGTGCAACACCTAAAAGGGCTTTCCGTCTAATTTCGAAGATGACAACGTCTGTCCTGTGCATGCGCTAGTTTATACCAAGACATTTCGTAGCGTCTTAATCACCTAGACAATATGCACATCTCAGCTTAGAAGGACGCAGTTTTCGCCGGCGCCCTGCGCTTGCGAACAACTCAATAGGGATGGACACCCTGTTTGACAGCACAGGCAAGGTCACGATTTTGGTGCTCATTCGATGCTGATCTATTCCTCTTTGCATTGGTCGAATCTGTGCATTAGGTATACAAAGGTTCAGTACAGTCATCGGCCAGACTCGATCCGCAACAGGTTACAGTAGCGGCAGGAGTTAATGCAAGCTGCTGACCGCCAAGGTATTAATGACAACGATCCAACGTCACTGACCAGTATGTGCTCAATTTTTTTCGGTATTAGTCATGAGGCTTATTCAGTATTTCAAAGCCCGATTCCACTACCTGCCAGGACGGTTTTGCCTAACGCTACTCACTAGCTTCCCGGGGGATGAGCGGATCGTGTCGGATGCTCATCGGATGCTCGAGCGTGCAAATCACAACTCGAACCTGTGCGAGGATACACTTGAGCTGACCAACGCTAAAGCTCGGGCGTCGAACACGCTGCCCCGCAGTGAACAACGTTATAGTGACAGGCCGCTAGCATCTGCTTCTCTATGAGACACTGACCTTAATTAGACCTACCCGTCTAAATCCAAGTCACCTTTCCCTTGCCCAGCAACCCATAATAAAGTACTATTTTAACATATTAGAGACATGTCCACTTGGTCAGCTCACTTTTCTATGATTCCTGAGGTACTGCCAAGTCGCTAATTTGCCCCTAGCGTTGGAAAGCTCAGCTGCGTCCTGCAGCAGTACGCGCAACGAATCCTACCGGTGCCAATTCGGTGCATTTATCTCTCTTTGCTCGACCCTGCATGGATTCTCGTGCGGTCCGGAATGACATGCTGCACGCTAAGAAGTTCGCGAGACCAAGAGTTGATCTGCTCATAGGGTGATACTTGTATCGTGCCATGTAGTCAGATCTAGCTGCCTGGATATCTGTCTCCTCCTTCACAGGTTCGTTGATTGAACGATTCCCTTCGGCAGCGGCATGCTTGAGCATCGCGTTTGCATGACTCTAACATGGCTGATGCCGTCCGTATTCCAGCGTACTCTTCAAGTAATGCTGTCCTCTACCTTATACCAGTATGCACGCTTAGTTTTATTGCGCTAGCACTGGTCGTCGTACGTGTTTACACGCGTATGAGGAGGATAGCGAAAGTGTACCTTGACGACTGGCTCATCGTCGCTGCTGAGGTGCGTTTGAAATCTTTCCTACACGTGTACGTGCTGATGGTATATCCAGGTATTTTCCTTAACCGACACAGCACTCGTGATCACAGCATTCACGTACGGCTGGGGTAAACCAAGCTACACGTTCACACCAGAAGCCCTCCGAAAGACTCTTCAGCTCCTTTTCGCGATGCAATTACTCTGGACCATCGCCCTCTGCCTTATCCGTGTAGCAGTTGCTTGCTCATTGCTGCGCTTCGGCGCTGGTTTACTGTGGCGCAACATGCTGTATTTCATCATTGGATTGCAAGTTGTAACATCTTCCTCTTACATGGTCATCCTGTTCGGACAGTGTACGCCGATGAGCGCCAACTGGGAAACGATTCCGGACATCAAATGCTGGGATAGAACGCCAATCACAAACTACAAGTGGGCACTTGCCGGTAAGACGAACTATGCTCAGATGTATTTCTAAAACCGTCACTGATAGATATTGTCAGCGATGTACATAGTTATGGACCTTACCCTCTCACTTATGCCAATACACCTCATACGAGCCCTTCACCGCAGCACGACCGAGAGAGTTCTCGTTTGCGTCTTGATGTCTCTCGGCCTTCTCGCCACTGCAGTCGCATGCATCAAGATGACCACATACAGCAGCCTCGGAAAAGGCGACGTGATGCAAGCGTCAATTAGACCGGTCATGTTGACCATATTGGAACAGATTGTAGGCATTATCGTGTGCTCGCTTGCATGTCTGAAGGGTCCGGTAGAGAATGAGTTGAAGAGGTTAGGAATCTTGAAGCAGCGCAGTCTGACGACGCCGAGGTCTATCAACGCCTTGAATTCATGGAGGTTTAGCAAGCAACGAGATGATAGTGGATATGGGACAGGAGGGAGGGTTGGTGTCGTGGCTGATCATGTGGTTTTAACGTCTGTAAGTTCTGCATACAGCTTGGTAAACCAATCTGGAGCTGGCGATGCATCGCACGCTGCTTGATTGACGGCATTCTGAGCACTCGATGTCTGTATAATATGATGCAATGTCAACGGCTGGGCTCGAGAGAACCTCTGTGGCCTTTTCCCAAACTATGCCTCTCGCACGTTTCAGGGGCAACACTAGGGAGTTACAGTGCGTTGTCCCGGAGCTCAACACAATTCCAAAACTTGGCAGCTACAACCACCAACGGATGACAGACATTGGATATGGCGTGGCGTAGATATATTTACGGCGAAATCTTTCTGACTTTTTCAAGTCCATGGCTGCAGACATATAATTTCGTGTTCCTATCAGCATCTGTCACTGCCTGAAGCTATTGTCTTTGCTCAAATTTTTTCAGCTTCTGAGTGCAATTTTCCAAATTCTTGAGCGGTTCCCAGGTACTCTCTCCTACGAAATGTCCCTTCCACTTGACCCAGTATCTCCACCGGCGCCCGTACCTCTCCTTCTCCAATATCACTTTCACTTCATATTCCTGCTCGCTCTCCATTTCGCTGTTCGTCTGCAGTGTGATACCAGCTCACGGGTCATTGGATCGCGCGTTCTGTTCGAGAGCAGTCATCCTAAGTGTATCATTGTCCGCATCGGATCCCAGCGGGCCGGCGCTGTCGGGTCCATCGAACAGGTTGACAGGAGGAGATGCGGGTCCCCCGACTAATCTTCAGTTCCTCTGGCAACGACATGATCCGATGTACCGAGTTCGGACGAAGTCGAAAAACCACGACTGGTACTGTAAGTGTTGCTAGCTTGCTGCACATAACGCTCATCCCGCCAAGACAAAGCAAACCACATCCAACGGCTGCAATGTGTGGGTTGAGTGAGGTGGATAAATCATCAATATGATCTTATGAGCGCCACAGTAGTCGATGAAGACTCTCGTTTTATGGCTACCGTGACCGCCTAGGATGAGTAGGCGCCACCTCCTTCGAGATTTCGGTGCAGTATACCGCTAAAATACCTGTTTGAGCCGCGTAATGCCTAAATCGTCGTTCGTCCAACCAGTACGTGAGGTAATGCAGAAGATATCGTGTTCCTTAGGGTCGATTGAAGCCACCCAGCTGACTTGAACGGCTCTACCAGCTGCTGGATAGATGGTGCAAGGCGGTAGTACTGATCCATCGGCGCATATCGTCGCTATGAGGGTCACCCACTCGCGGTTACCATCGTGGAGACTCTGCTTAAACTGCTTTTGGTGGTATAGTGTCTTGTCAAGATTCGTTTACTCCTCACTGTAATCTCAATCGCGAAGCCCTTCTCATCCGCATTGAAGGAATCCTCAAACAGTACGTCGTACTCAGCTACTTTGCGATGTAGCAGCTCGAAGTATAGTTGGAACATCTTACCAGATTCGGCGTGGTAACGAGTAGCTTCCATAGGCGTGCTCCACGCGTTAAGGAGTAGATCGGCGTGACGGTTGAGGAAGCGGGTGATGCACCTCTCAGAAGGCTCCCAGCTGTAACAGAGGCGTAAGTAAATCAATCATCTTTTGCCTTTTAGGCATCAGGTGCCTATTTTTAAGCGCTCTAATGTATTCTATAGCCTCTACCTCATCGCGTGGGCGGAGTAGGCGTCGCTGCAATGCCTCTTGTTGGTGGGGTATCACCTGACCTCGGTGGCGACGCGTTAAAGTCGAGCAACAGCAACCATGTTTTTTGGCAAGAGTTTGGTATGAAAGCTTTGCTCCTGGTTTCATTCTATCTATCTGTGCAAGGACTTCTTGTAAAGGCATTGTAGTGTTGAGCAATAGTAGATTCAAAAACGAGATGAAATGTGGTAGGGTGCACATCGGGTGACTGTGCGCATCGGGTGGCCGATTACCGCACAGTACTGTATTCTTTACGAAGAGGAACCATCTGTCCCCCGAAAACCCCGTCGTTTTACATCAACCACTATCTACCTATGCTTTGGCAGGTCATCTAGATAACCGCTCTACTGCCTGTGTGCTGTAATTCTGGGTTCGTGGAGAGCTCTTCGCTATCTTGGCGTGTATGAGTGTCTCCCAGTTTGTGCACGAAACAAATCTCCTCTTCTACCTCGAATCTGCCGACACTTCGCACTCCCAGCTTACTCGTGCTGATCGCAACCTCAAACTGCGAGCCGCTATCAATTGACCATGCATTCCGTTCTACATCCCAGATTCCGAGTCCATATGCATCGATATAGACATTGATCTTGCATGTCTGACCAGGACCCAGTGGTGGCGTCTTCGCAAAACCACAAATCTGCTTAGGCGGTCTTTCAAGGCGAGTCTTAGAGGTCTGCCAGAACCAAACGATAACCGTTTCGCGAGAAGCCAAATCAGCATCTTTTGATACATTCCGGACAGTAGCAGACAGGACCAGAGGCTTTCCGTCCTGCGGAAAGACACTGTCACTTAGTGTGGTATCCTCGATATCGAAGGATGAGTAAGAGAGACCGAATCCAATAGGAAATAGCGGTTGTGTACCTAGTAGATCCCACCATCGATAACCAACATGCAGACCTTCGGAGTAGTAGCTGCTGAGTTGTTCTCCCGGAAAGCTTGAATATGCGGGGCAGTCTTCGATGCGTCGCGGGAAAGTGACAGGGAGTCTGCCGGATGGGTTAAAATCTCCGAATACGACATCAGCCGCCGCGTTGCCCAGCTCCTGGCCTTGGTACCAGCAGTAGAGTACGGCATCGACTTGGTCAAGCCAGGGCAGCATCTGTACTGGGGTACCGGCCTGAACTAGAACAACGACGTTCTTGCATACGGAACGCATGAGTGTTATGAGCCGGGTCTGTTCGCCTGGCAACTCAAAAATCGGGATATCTTGACCTTCAGTCTCCCATTCTTTGTCTCTACCAACAACAACGATTGCAGTATCACAGCCATTGTCAGAAGCCATTTTAGCGGCGTCCGCTGGAAGATTAGAGTTGTCCAACTCTTCGTATCCGAGGCGTACACCTTGAAAGTTGGTTTCCATAGGATCCAGACGGCCGTTGAGCTCTTGCTGGAGATGGCGATCGTGGGAGAGGCATTCGACAACGACGTCGTAATCGCAGCTTTCTACAAAGTTGTGCGTCCCAATCCTCTCCTCAGAGCCGTACGTGAAAAACATACTGCCTTTCTCCGCAAATGCACCAGATTGCTCTAGTACGAGCTCACCATTGATGTACATTTTCGCTGGTCCGATACTCGCTAAGGACACTCGGTGGTCTCCCGACGTTTTTGGGGTAAGGACTGTGCGCAGGACGAAAGCGAAACTTTCAGCAGGATCTATAGCTTTCGGAGCGTCGTTGAAAGATACAAAGTACAGGTCTTCGCTGTAGATAAGTCAGTCAGACCAAGCTTGATTCGGCGAAGTTCTGCTACTGACCATTGGCTAGAAGCTACATAAGAGCTTTTTGCAAAGCTGTGCTGATTGTACCATTCAATAGAGGCTCCAGGCTTTCCTGTGGCTCCTGATCTCGTCTGTTGCAATGGCATGGTGGGAAGATAGCGATTCGTTCTAGCGCCAACGTGGAAATGAACATTGGCGGATGTTTTGTTCAACCTCTCTTTGATTGATGTGAGGACGGATGTCCAGTATGGTGCTTTGATGTATGAACTACCCCCGCCACCAGCTACCACGCGCTCAGCGTTGGGTCCGACGACTGCAACGTTTCCGAGGTTTTCAATCCGTAATGGCAGACTTTTGCTCTCGTTCTTGAGTAAAACGATCCCCGAAGCGGCGGCACGCCGTAGCTTCTCCCGCTTTTCAGGTGTGTCGTCACAATATTCTGGGTCATCGTTCGCATCCTCAAAACGCCCGGAACGTTGCAGTAAGTGAAGCATACGTTTGGCGGATTCGTGGAGCTTTCCACGGTCGATTTTCCCAGTTGCAATGTAGTTTGCCATGGCTTCGGGTGTGCGTTGTAGAGGAGGGCCTGGCATTTCAAGATCCAGTCCGGCATTGACAGAATCGATGCACGAGTTAGTGCCTCCCCAGTCGCTCATGAAGACTCCCTTCCAACCCCATTCGGTGCGAGCAATGTCGTGCAGAAGTTGTTTTGACATATCAGCGTGATGTCCGTTGATCTTATTATATGCTGACATCATGCACCACGGGTCTGCTTCTCGGACGACAGCCTGAAAAGGTGCAAGATAGATTTCTCGCAGGACCCTGTCAGGTATGATTGCATTGACATGAAATCTCTTGGTTTCTTGGTCGTTGGCTAGTTCAAAGATCAGGTTACTGATTGAGATGCCTTGTCGGGATGAGATACTCACCAACGTAATGCTTCGGGGTAGCCCCTACACCTTGAGACTGTATTCCACGGACGTGGGCAGCAGCTAACTTACCCGTAAGGAACGGGTCCTCAGAATAACTTTCAAAGTTTCGTCCGCCTAAAGGATGTCGGTGGATACACATTGTAGGTGCCAGGCTCACTGAAGCCGACTTGGTTTTGCACTACTCAGATCAGCACTTTCCGACTCTGCGCACACAAATCCACTTGATATAGAAGGAGCGTTACCTCATTTCCTAGCAATTTCCCCATCTCATACATCAAGTCTACGTCCCAAGTCGCACCCATACTGACACCACTGGGCAGAAATGCAGCAGGAACATTTTCTCCGAAAATCTCGCCCCTCGCCCCGGAGGGTCCATCCGAAACCTTGATCAGTTGTCAGCATGCGATCCTTTCTTAATTAGTCGTACATAATACCTTGAGACTGGGTATACCGAGCCTGGAGATGTCAGCAGTGCGCCACTGTGACTTGCCTGCGACGAGTGCAGCTTGCTCAGGAAGCGTTAGCTGAGCCGCCAATTGTTCGAGATAGTCTTCGGCCGAGGTCGACATAATGGACGTGACTAACTCGCGCGTTCATGTCCGGGAGATTTCCAGCAGACATGGACCTGGTTTTGTAGATCGAGTCGGAGAAGCCGGTGGGGTCCCACATACGGAATCCAAATTCCGCCCCGCGTGTGAATTAACTAGGCGGGTGAAATGGCGTTCTATCTCGCGGAATTTGTATTCCCCCGCTATTCAGGAGCACGGCTTGGAGAACAGCATTTTAATACACGATGTGCGCTTTACAATGCTTTGATAGAATTCCCATCGACTGGCGCCTTCGCTTTCACTCCTAGCTTTAGAACTACGGTCGTTGCGACATCGCAATGGATCTGTGTACCACTGCACCGGCTGCACCATCAGCCTCTCACAAGACCGATGCTTTAAGTCGAGAGTCAATTCCTGATGCAACGTTGTTCACTTTGCCTTCCGCCGACCTTCCCCACATACAACAAGCCGTCATAACTCCAGTAGTTGGCCCGGAGCTGAACGTGCATTATTCCACGATTCCAGTCCGTTTTCCAGCGCCCAGCGAAGTAGTCGTCAAGATCGCTTGGACTGGCGTCTGTCGCAGCGTACGCCCCAACTTGTATTTACAGGATCTGCCTCTTCGGTAACTTCTGGGCAATGCTAACATGTCACGGCGGGCAGGATCTCTCGTTCTCAAAAGGACCGTTACCCGGCTTTGCCAAACACAACCATATCGCAGGCCACGAAGGCATTGGTCACGTTGTCGCTAGTTACGATAACTCACTGCTCGGCCGGGTCGTAGCCGCTCGCTATGTCGCCGGTATATGCCACAAATGTTGGGCTTGCCTGCGTAGCATCCCTGACGCTTGCATAAACCAGAGGAACTTTCCAAAGCATCACGATGGGACATTTCAGGAGTATGTTACAGCGCCATGGACCTCGTTTATGCCGTTGGATGCCACAGGCCTCGATTCTGATATGTCGCTCGATCCTGCCTTATACACCGCAGCTCTTTGCTCGGGAGCTGCAGCTTTGAAAGCGTTGCGCGAATCGAACGTTCGCCAGAACGACGTCGTGCTCATCTTTGGGGTTGCAGGTGCAATCGGGCATCTTGCGGGCATGATAGCCAGAAAAGTCTTCGGTGCTCTAGTGATTGGGGTGGATCGTGCTAAAAAAGTAGAAGCTTTGGCGGGGTCTGTAGCGGACGAGCTGTTCGATGCCTTCGTCGCTGCACCCGAGGGTCCCAATGATGATGCCAGTTTTGCAGTCAAAGTCAATAAGGCCTGTACAGATCTCCGTGGTGGTTGCGTCGAGCCGAAGCGGCCTGATGCGATAATCATGGCTGTTAGTTCAGACGAGCCTTATCGTTGGGCTAATCTTGTTCGCGATGGGGGAACCGTCGCATGCCTCAGGTGGGTTTCATCCTACGGAGCTCGTGTCTCATTCAGAGCTAACCAATACAGTGTATTAAGCTCTACAACTATGTTGAGCGTCCGAATTGCTGAGCTCGTCGAACGACAGATCTGCATCAAGGGCGTTATGATGGGTGGACGGGACGAGAGCTACCAAGTGATGCAGTACATCAGAGATAAACGCATCAAGCCGATTATCACGAAAGTAGCGCTTCGGGAGTTACCAGGAGCCATTACTGAGATGACCCGAGATGCTTTCGTGGGCAAGTTGGTAGTAGCTATGGAGGACTGCCTCACTCAGCCTTGACATCTGCGACCTTAGTAGCATATGCATCTTTGTGTTCGAATCACCCAGGTCTCTCGTCGATACACACTCATTTTCACATGAGCTTGCGGTTGCCAATCCTAAATCGCATATTACGTGAGATTAAGGTCCACATCCATAAAGAACGATGGATCCATAAGGCCATCGCTGAACAGATCCGCATCAAATCCGAGGTTCGGTTGACACTGAGCGTCATTCGCAATTGGCAATAACGCATCCTCGTGTTCAAGGCGCGGCCTGGAAACATTGAAAGCCTCGTGGTCACATGACTGGGCTTCCGTGCTACCATCGGTGCCCGTAGCCGTAGGAATACCAGGCATCCCTAAGGACGGACGAGTGTCTCGATCGCCCATTGAGATTTGCGTGGCTGGTCTGCGAAGCGCAGTGCCCTGTCGTGACCGTAGATAACAAAGATTCAGACGAATTCGCTCGGCTGGGTTCCACGCAAAGGAGAGCTCCGCAAGAGCATTAAGACAGAGATTTGCAGATTCACTCACTGCTCGTATATTAGGATGGGAACTCTTTGCTTTCTCAATCTGGATGAAAACAAGAGCGGCTGAATGTAAGCAGTGAGTGGCCGATACTGGGCTTCTCCTGAAGCTGCCAAAGACGTCTCTGAACTTCTTGGCCACAATGGACACATTGCGTGCCGCTTCGTGGCAAGTGTCGAGAGCTTTTTGACAGATCGGATGGGACAGTCCAACTGCAGTCCCGGATTTGACGGATAACAATGCGTTGCCTAGCAGAATGAGGGTCGTGTGGTACACCATATGTAGTGTGTATACCTGAGGCACGGTATTCTTCTCTTTAGATGTCTCTAGTCTGAGATCAGGAGGAAGGTCGTACGCCCAATTCTGGATTTCGAGAAGACAGGAATCGAAGAAAGCTTCTCGTTGCATACCGCGATACTGAGGTTTTGGTACGTAGCTTGGCATCCGTTAGCCATGGGCCAGCTGATCATCATTGGGTCAAATCACATACAAACCAAGGATCATCTTCTCTAGTACTTGACTTAGCCCAATCAGTGCGCAGTGGAGTTTCAGCTGCACTTCTCTACCACCGTTGTCACTTACTTGCGGCGATTGCCGTCGACTCGGAAGCTTCACGGCTGCTTGTGTGTCCTAAGGATCGCAAATTTAGCAATAAAGCAGCAAGAACGCTGAGGCGAAGAGGGTTGACTTACCATCATGGTACACACACGACCAGTGTACAGGGCGTGTAGCTTGTCGTCGCAGTACAAAACCCAGTACATGCGGCGCCGTAATTCCGCTTCTTCACTGGATATCAGGTGGGACCCAGGGAGGGACGTCGCATCAAAATTAAGGCCCAAGTCGAAGGCAATACGTATAGCCATACCTTGATGCAACCATGCAGCAGACTCGGCACCAATACCCTACAGAGACATGGTTAATCAGATCCGCATGATTGATGGAATCTTCACATACAACATATACACCGACCAAAATTGAGAGTGCCTGGATGGTCGTTAATCTAGGCCACTTGAGGTCATAATGCAACAGAATTTCTGCCTTCTCTAAGAAGAACCGTCCAGCTGATGTAAGATCTTGAGGATCTGAGCGGACCTCGGTCCTGTCCGAAAATCGAGATCCAGCTGCCAATATGCAATTGAGAAGTAGTGGACTAGAGTAGCGACCATGCACCGGTTCGCTTTGCCGGAATAGATCCTCATCAACGATGGGGGTCCAAGGATTCTGCCAGGTGAAGTAAAGGTCTATGAGATGACGTTGCAGATTTTCATCCACATGGTCATGCTCCAATTCAAGCAGGAACTGATTTTGATAAGTCCTTGATCTCACAGACGCCTGATCGTCTATTGCACTTATCGGAGATGCATGTTGTCCATCTGCTTCATTGACTGTACATTTGTCAGGAACGCATCCAGAGAGCAGACGGCGGTAGTCGACGCTGCTCTTACCTGGTAGGAACTCTAGGCGTCCACTGGTGGGACCAAAGTATCGTACCTCGCCATCTTGGTCGAAAGTCAGAGATTCGTCCAGAGACAACGCACCCTCGTAAACGGCGCAAAGTTGCTCGAAATTGGGAGTGTCTGTGCCGCTGCCATGAGGACTAGCTGTAGGATAACGAGCGGAGCCCAAGTCAACAGCAGATTTTGCCACAGCTTCATCAACATCAATGCAGTTAGACCGCAGCGCCTGCTCCAACAGCTCGATGCGGGTACGCAGAAGTTGCACATAGGCCTTTGGAGCAGGCTTGCGGTGATCAGCAGAGGCACTGTACTGGCAGCTATCAGAACGGGCATGACATGGCGAACACATCGGCTGTATACCGTCGCACTAAACAACACAATTAAGTCAGCCATGCAGGTAGGTAGACGTCACATCCCACAGTGCGAGCACGAACCTTCGCACGTCGTTGGCGACATTGTTGGCATGCCTTTGATACATATTTACGACGCTGTTGCTCCATGATGCGAGCTCTGGTCGAATGTGTCGTGTCTTGGACACGGCTTCGATGCACTGCGTGTCGTGATCAGGATGCAGAGATGTCGATAAGGATGTCGTGTGTCTAGGCAGGTGCTTGTTGCTGTTGAAGATGGAGCAGCGTTAGTCGGCGACTGCCGGCAGGTGGAGCCTGCGCAGCTTTATGCTCGTAACCCCGCACTATGATTGGCGCCATGACGTTGACGTCCGAAATCGCGCATCTAGCAAAGGAATTTGGATTCCGACTCTCAGCCATAGATAAAGACCACTCGGTGCAACCGGTTTAAATCCAGTCATCCACAAGATTTTCTGTAATCAAACACGTCAGGTCAGGCACCATGTCACACCTTCAATACTACGCATACCCTGGAAAAGGCGGAACGGCAAAGAAGAACTTCAAGTACAGCCAGGCAGTACGTATCGGAGACCGCATTGAGTGCGCTGGCCAAGGTAAGCTCTGGTGACCTTCTTTGACAATCACATCAACACAACGCTGATTGTAACAACGTGCAGGTGGGTGGGACCCCCAGAGCGAAGTTTTCCCTACCGAAATCAACGCACAGATCGACCTGGCTTTCGAGAACGTAGAGCGCAACTTGAAGGATGCTGGCGGAAAGGGTTGGTCACAAGTATTCCGAGTGAACTCATACCATGTTCCTATCAACAACGAGGCACTAGCAGCTATGGTGCGGAACTTCAGGAAGTGGATGCCAGACCACGAGCCTATCTGGACTTGCGTTGGCGTCACACGGTTGGGTGAGGACGACATGCGCGTGGAGATTGAGGTCGTGGCACACGACCCAAAATAAAAGGATTCTAGCTACGGATTGAATGCATTAGTGATTGATCACTTAAGAACTCTGTGTCTGATTGCTTTATGGAGGCACAATTGCAGAAGTCATTACTCTGCCGTGAATCAGGAAGATACAAGAGAGCACATCTGCGTAGTTGCTGATTCCCGCCCGGAGATTGCTAAAGACTGTGCGCACCTTGTGCGTGCGAGATATTTTGTTGTGGGCTGGCGTGATTTGTCCCCCCGTTTTGGAGATTTGTCCCCCCTTTGAGATTTGTCCCCCGCGCTAGCCAAATCACCACTAGCGTTAGATAGATTACAGTTTTATATTTGTCTAGGAAGCAGGTAGGTATAAAGGGAGGCTATACGTAAGTTGTCTACTAACACCGTTGTCTCTTTTGCGGACCAAGGTTTTTCTAGGCTTCTAGAGCTGCTACTGCTGCAGCACGTTTAGGCTGCTGTGTAGATATATCCTTAGGCTTAATACTTGCATCTTAAGTATTAACCTATGCAAATCTTTCAGTATAGAAAGCTTCTATGTCTCTAAAATAATAGTTCTATGCTATAGTTAGTATGTAGGAAGCTAAAAGCCCCTACTAAGCAAGAGCTATATTCTGTGCCTCTACTAGCTCTGTAGGATCCCCCTCCTGCCCTATTTCTATTAGAAAAGTAGTAGCTAACATTATATTATTATAACTATATAAAATAGGTTAAGATTATTAAACTTTAATATTAGCTAAGAAATTTTCTAGTATTAGAGGTTGCTAGATAGGGGGCAAAGCTATAGTTACTAATATAGCAACAGCTATAGGCAGAGATAACTAAGGTAAAGTAGAAGGTAAAGGAGTAGGTACTAGAATTAATATAGATATATAAGTAGTTATAGGATCTGCAACTAAAGTAGAGTTAGGAATTAAAATAGTAATAGAGGTGTTAACTTGCTATAGAGCTTTAGCTAGTATTTAACCCTAGAATTAATAATAAGGTTAGAAGCAAGGTATAGAAGGTAGCACACGCTGCTTAAAAGCTAAAGGATTTTAGTAAGTAGATGCTTTGTTTCTCCTTAGCACACCTCTTGTCTGCATAGTAAGTAGCTCTAGAATAGACTAGTATAGCCTAGGGGACAAGAATACTAAAGGTCCTTACTTGCGTTAATAGCGCTAGTAATTATTATAGAGATAGTTTAATTATAGCATAGATCTAGCAGCTATTACTTCTTATAGTATATAGTAGTATAGGAGACTATTTATTTTCTTAAAGAGGCCTAAACAAGAATGCCTACTATAATGCTGTTATTGCTCTTTCTAGCGCAGTAAGTCTTATTGCCTAATATGCTTAATAGCTAGTAGTATAAGAATATTATAGATTCTAGGAGGTAGGAAGGGTATAGACTTAAGCTTATACTAAAACTTAGTTCTATACTTAGAAGACGCAATCTCCTATGCATACTTGCTATATTAACTCTTAACTATCTATTTAATCCTTATAATAATATAAAGCAAGTTACCTATTAAAGTTATAAGATAGTTCTTTAGAACCTTATATATTCCCTTAATAGGTAAACTTATAATTATATTATAGTGTTAGTAATAGGAGGTCTAGGTAGCTACCTACTCTATGCGTGTTAGGTATTAGTTTTCTTATAGGTACCTATAAAGCTCTAGCTAGTAACTATAGTCTTTAAGTAGATTATTCTATTTAAATTAGAAGTCTATTAGTCTCTTTATATAGATAAGCTATTTTAATTAGTCTAAGTATACTAGAAAAGCTGCTTTAGAGTGCTCTTTACTTATATTTAGTATACCTAAGTTTAATAGTTTATAAATAAAGCCCTCTGCTTAGCAATTCTCTGCTTCTCTTCTTTTATTATGCTATTAGCATCTCTCTAGATTTGTTGTGCTTTTATCTAAATGTTCTTATTAATATAACACACGCATAAGAGTTAAGGAACCCCTAGAAGTAGTGCGCGCGCTAACATCTTTAATGCTTCTTCCTAGTTGCTAATAAACATATATAGTTATTATATATCTATTTTAAGGAGGAAGTTTATAATTACCTAGTAGTAGTCTGTATATATTTTATTACTAAGGAAGTAGAAGCCTATAGAGAAGAATGTCTATAGGTTAGTATAGCCTAGTATATATAGTAGAGGAAGTTTATGCTTATTAGTTTAATATATGCAATCTATTAATAGTATATTAGAATTTGCTAGCAGCAGCTTAACCTGCTTCTAATAGGCAAAGAAGAGGTTTTAAATACAATTATTATTATTCTTCTTAATAGCGAAGATCTAGTCTACTGTAGACAGATTATCTAGCAGTGCCTCTATTAGACTTCTTCTATCTAAATGCCTCTCTCTAATTTTCTTTCTCTTGCCTTAGATATTAGTAGTAGTAACTAATGTGTTATAATCTTTACTTTAGATTGCAGCAAGGATCTGTATTAGCTGCGCCCCTATATAGGTTATTAATTTAATTACTTCCTTTTATGCTATTATATGCTTATAATATATATTATGCGTGCTAGGGTTAATTAATTAGGGGTAGTTATAATGCTTATCTAGAACCTCTAGCTTCTATTATTTGCTATGCTTTACCCTAAAGATAACTAGCTTAAAGAGATATTCTGCTGCACGCGTGCTTATACTTAACTTTCTTGCACTTAACTAGTAGGTTTAAAATTAGTTATAATAATAGTAGTATTATGTTTTAATATCTAAGTTATAAGGCTTACTTTGCTTAAGAATAAAGCTATAGCTATGTTGCCTGCTATGCGTCTTAAGAGCATTATATGCTTCCTTATAGGAGTTATAGAGAAGGTCTAAGGGTGCTAGAATAGCTTCTATAATTATATATATAGAACTAGAGATAGCTAACTATAACGCAGAGAGGATTATAGAGAAGGCTTTGTAGCGCAGAAACGCGTAGGTGTTATGCTGTTGTCGCGTTAATAGATTACACGCTAAGCTTGGTTAGGCAGTTAATATCCACTAACACTAGCGCGGGGGACAAATCTCAAAGGGGGGACAAATCTCAAAAACGAGGGGACAAATCACGCCAGCCTTTGTTGTGTGCTAGTTTCGTTGCGCGCTAATACCTCGTTGCACTACCTACCTACCGTATCGGCGCCGGCTGCCGCGACCGGAATATGAAATGCTAACTACCACCGGCTATCGTTCTATCATCCGTTCCACGATAGCGACGGCTTCTGGCACTTCGTCAGCCACAGACTTTTTTTGGCGATAGTCCGGTCTTCCGTTATGGTTATTGATCACCTGCGCAGCAGCGGAGTTCAGTTTCCAGGCCTCGATTCTCGCATCCAAGATAAGGCGGGATCACAGCAGTGCACGGACCGGAATGTGAATTCCGCCACGCCATGCTCCCCGCAGCCTCAAATGAACATATATCTGGGGTAGATGGCAAGACGTGAAGAAGAATCAGCAGCCTGAACTCCTTCAATCTCATTAGCGTTACTTAGGACTTAGTATTCTTGCATTATGTCTTCTGTTGAGTCTTCGCTCAAGGGCCCCAAGGCGCCAATTGAACACAAAGACGAGCTGGAGCTCGGCACAACTACAACCCTTCCGGGTACTGTAGAACTCCCATGGTCAGCCCAGTACAAAGCCCTCTGGACCTGTAAGCGCTCGGTCTTCGCGTGTAGGTCGCCTTTCTGCCTTCCCCTCATTCATTCAACTGATCACAGTTTGATACAGCGTTCGCCTGTTCGTCGGCAGCTGTTCTGATTGGCTACGACCTGTATCTCATCGGCAGCATCATCGCAAATCCAACATTCGTCGAGTTCTTCGGCGTTTATGACGAGTCTATTCAGGCATGGGCGCTCCCAGCTAATAGGCAGTTGGTCTGGAGCATAGTGCAATACTGCTCCGCTATGGCAGGTGCGCTAATCTCAGGACTTTTGAATGACGCGTTTGGTAAGAAGCTGAACTTCTACTGTCTGATTGCGTACGTACATCCACGCAAAAACTAAGACATAACGTGTAGCTGACGCAGAAACACAGCTTGACGATGGGCGGCACGTTAGTCGAACTCCTCTCCCCTAACTGGCTCGTCTGGATCGTCGCCAAAATCCTCTTTGGTGCTGCCATGGGCCAGATGCAGGGTACAATCCCATCTTACATCGCCGAACTTGCACCAACGGCTATTCGCGGTTTTCTGCTCTCTCTCTTCCAATTCTGGATTATTTTCGGCTCTTTCCTAGGATCCTGCGTACTCCAGGGAACCACAAGTGTTAGCGGAAATTGGTCTTGGAAAGGTGCTGTGGTCTCTCAGTTTGCCATTGGAACGATATGCCTTGCCTTATTCATCCCTCTCGTACCGGAGTCGCCATACTATCTCATTGGTCGCGGAAAGGCAGACCAGGCACGGACAGTACTGCAGCGACTAAGGGGTTCAGAGTCCGATTACGATGTTGATCGCGACGTTGCCACAATACAGGCGACGCTGGATCATGAACGCCAGTCACGCGCTGAGTCGGGCTCCTATCTTGAGTGTTTCCAAGGAACCAATCTTCGTCGAACATTGATTGCATGCTTGCCAATGGCTATGCAGCATTTCATGGGATATCCACTCGCGGGAAACTACCAAGCCTACTTTCTCAGTCTGTCTGGATTCGAAGACTCTTTTCTGATCGGCATCATCTCGATGCTCATCGGTATGATCGCTATCATTGGCGCCTTCTTGCTAATTGAGAAGACTGGCCGACGACCACAACTGATCTACGGCTCGGTTGGCCTATGTCTTTGTCTTCTCATCATTGGCATCCTCGGTTTTGTCAATCCCGGAAGCCAGGCTTCAAGTACGGCCGTTGCTGCATTTTGTATCATCTGGTCTGTATTCTACTATGCATCCTTGGGTGCTGTTGGATGGACGATACCTGGTGAGGTTCCATCAGCACGCTTGCGCAGCAAAACCACATCGCTCGCTGGCTTTACGAACTCATTGATCAACATGGGCTGGTCTATTGCTATCCCATATTTGGTCAACGAGGAGAACGCTAATCTTGGTGCGAAGACTGGCCTCGTCTTTTTTGCGCCTGCAACGGTGCTACTTGTCGTAGCTTGGTTCTCTGTGCCAGAAACGAAAGGAAAGTCGTTCACAGAGCTGGACGAACTATTTGAGAGGAAGACTTCAGCTCGCAAGTTCTAAATCGATATTACGGGCCATGTATATGATGTGTTCATTGGGTTTGCTCAGACGATCGATTACATTGTTGCGTCCAGATTCCTGCATTTGCTTTAGCGGCTGGAAACATCAAGGTTGTTCTCACACCGCCATGAGGATCTCCAGGATCGAGGCCAAACAACCAGTATATATACATGCGTAAAGCAGAGAAGCCGGCGAACAAGCCTTTGATCAAACCCCCTTAATGCCTTTCAGCCCAAATTAAGACCAAAGCTGTTTGCTCTATGCACAGTTTGCCTTCCCATAACCGCCGCAAGGTGGCTTTTGTTCACTACACGGTATAAAGGTTAGCTACAAAGAGTCGACAAGTGCTGTCAATCGATTTTGGGAAGCATGCAAGACAACACAAAGCAAACGAGTATTCTGGCTTTGCAGGCATTGCATCCTTCAAGCGACCTCGAGAATGATCCCAGGATCTAGGTTGTAGGAGAATATATGGTCCGCCTGGTCCCAGGCTTGGCAAGCAGCACCTCGCACTCATGTTGCTGCACGTGAGACTGCTGTCCTCTGTGGAGTGTCATGCGACAGAATCATTCTTGAAGGGGCGTCGTGCAAAAATGTCTCTGCGGCCGTCGTATGATCTGGGCAGGCAGCAGTGAAAGGGGGCCTCAAGATGTGACGGGCGCTCGTTCCCTTGACAGTGTCTTGGGAGTTCCGAAATCAATCGCCGACAGCAAAGTAAACGCGTTGATCCCTCTGGGCCGTGAAGCACGACCAATGCTTTCTTGAAGTCGGCAGATTGGCGTGGTGGATGTTGCAAATTCCGCTTGTGTCGAATGATCAGAATTTCCTTGCAGAAAGTGCAAAACCCTAACGCTAAACAACTTTGAGCAAATACTAGGCCTTGCGTCTAGCATGATGGGTGGTGTGGAGGTAGGGTAAGCCAAGGTTTGGACCAGGTGTTCGATTGCCGAAAGGGACTTCTCTTATGGCACGCAGTCTGGCTCGGATCGCGAAGCACCCTTGCAACACGGCGGTGGAGACAGATGGAGTGGTTAATCGCTGTGGTCTTCGTTTTTCGCGGCTGCAGACTGGTCCGCTTTGTCACGTTATCTTCACTGCTCTAACTATAGACTAGACTGCAAGATCCCCTTTTCGATTTTGTCCGCCTTAAGTTGTGGCGTGGCCGTACCAATATGCTGGGTTGCGTCCTGAGTAAATGGATTTGCAGGCTTCAGTACTTCGATCGGTGAATAGAATTCATCTGGTGACTCTGCAAAGCATGATTCATTAGTCCTAAGATCAGTCCTTGCATCGATCTGATGACTCTGCTGGTATTCTGCACTTAGCGTATCTGTCGATAGCACAGAGATGCTGCTCCAGAGCGATCTGCTTGCCGTATACTTCTTGGTCCTTTTCCCCACCCAAGCGTGTTGCATCAACTTTAGCGGCAGGTCGACGAGCTCGACACTCAATGTCCGTTGAATGTGACTTCTTGTCTCCTCAACCTCATTCCTCTCAATCAGGATCCTTCTGCAAGCCGTGTTGCTGCAGCCGATAGGTATACATTCTTCATTGCTGGTAGCTTCCGCTGCAATACACAACGCTTGATGCAACCAGAGCCAGGCGGCATGTGTCCTACTGAGATATTTTGACTTGATACTTTGTCTATTGCTTTACTCAAGAGATGACCTTTTCTTAGCAGCAGGACCGGCGCATATCTAGCGTCCAAAGTCACGAGTGATTGTAGGCTCGGTGACATGATCGCCTGCCACATCCCCAACATCTTCATCTCAGCAAGCGATCAATTGACTGAGGGTGGACGTGATGTCTATGGCACGGTTGTGGCAATGGGACATGGATGGATGACAGTGCTCTGTCGTTCGTCAGGCGCAGAATTATTTGCCTAGCACTTTAGGTGGCCCTCACTACACCCTGCCGATTACTGGAGCTACAAAAATCTTAGGAAGAAAGGAAGTCTGAGTATCTCTGATAGCGAGACCTGCCCGAATACTCAGCGCTATCCGATTTGTTGCTGCGGGGAGGGGTTGATAAGCTTGTTGCGATCGTCACAGTCGGAAGAATCTTCGACCTTATCATTACAACTCTTAGTACTTTGAGAAGCGAGCGGGAGGAGAGAGGTCTTCATCCATGGTGTTTGTGTCCGTTGCATTACGAGATCGCAAGACGGACCGGACGGAATTCATATTCCGGCCCCCGCCCGAGATTACCCAGCGTCAATCTAAGCACGACTAGGCTCTAGTTTGATGTACTTTCACTGTTTACATACCTGATAAGGAACATAAAAACAGAAGTGTTTATAAGGACGCAGGGAGAACTTTTGGAGACGTGAGTCCCCAAGTGTATATTATCACTTTTGGCAATTGACATAATGCCTTATTTTACGTTCCGGCAAGCAATCATCTTTGGCCTCATATTTGCTTCAGGTAAGTACTACCGTCCGTGAGAAGCATGTTACATTTTTGATTGATGGTGTCGCAGCTGCGCTGATTGGTTACGACTCTGGTTACCTAAATGGCGTCATCGCTTCTGAAGACTTCAATCGACGATATGGTCCGATAGGAGCAGATGGCAAGCACTTTTTGCTCCCGCTGACACGTTCGCTCTTCACGTCGATGCTCATTGTAGGCACCGTTTTTGGCTGCCTACTCCCGTCATTCGTGCAGAACAGAAGTGAGTGAGACCTTCTGGAAAGAGAGAGAATCTGAAGATCTAAACTTTCTACAGTTGGCCGAAAAGGGTGCCTTCTTGTCGCAGGATTGATTTATGCTCTTGGCGTCGCCCTGCAGACGGCTGGTGTACCTGCAGCTGGGTTCATCGTCGGTCGCGTCTTCCTTGGCGTTGGACTTGGTATCATCTCCGTCACCGTCAGTCAAACAACCATAGGCTTATCGGGACGAGTACAAGCAAGACTGACATCAAGTCTAGTCTCCTGGCTATCTCATCGAGGCGTCCTCATCAAAGAGTCGTGGACGTTTGATAGCCCTGTACACACAATTGCTGACAAGTGGTAATGTGGTGGCATGCGCGATCAGTCTCGGTACTGCCGATATGTCAGGTTCCATGAGTTGGCGTAAGTTGAACACCTTCGTCTATATCCATTGACAGACATAGTATTCAACATTAAATGACTGACAAACAGGCCTTACAATCGCTTTTCAGCTCGTCCTAGCCTTGTTCGTCTTTCTGGGTGCCTGCTACGCACCAGAATCACCATCTATACTAGTGCGCCAAGGAAAACATGAACGAGCACACTCGTCCATCTGCGCTTTGAGAGACATACAGCCCGGCTCATCAGACCTACTTGCCGCAATTGAAGAAATTCAGAAGTGGATCGATGAGCAGGAGATAGCTGGGAAAGTCCACCCTCTGGAATGCTTTCAAGGCACAAATCGCAGACGAACCTTATTGGGGATAACGATGAGTTTCATGACGATCGCTACAGGAGTCACATTCTGGTTTGGCTACGGGACAACCTTTTTTCAGAGTGCAGGTGTAGATAATGCGTTCTTGGTCTCTTTGATTTTGGCTGTCGTCAACTGTATCTTCACGACACTGTCGCTTTATCTAACAAATAAGCTTGGAAGAAGAAACATGCTACATGGCGGAGCGGGTGTTATGATTGGGGCCTATCTGTTGGTCGGCGTCACACATTCTGTGGCACCGAACAGTACTGCGAGCAACAATCTGCTTATCGCAGGTGCTGTTTTGTTCATTGCAGCATATGCTGCAACCTGGGGTACTCTGGGTAAGCATTGATACCATAAAAAGAAGCAAGCTCCAGAGACACGACAGCTAACATGACTAGGTTGGACAATTATGACGGAACCTTACTCTTCACGCCTAAGAACACAGAGTACGTCCATCACAATGGTCACGTACTGGACTGCGACATGGGGTGTAGGATTTGCCACGCCCTACCTTGTTGATGAGACTGCGGCGGATCTTGGTGTCAACATTGTCTATCTTTGGCTTGGAATGGTCATTCTCTCGCTGGTATGGGCATACTTTTGTGTGCCAGAGCTCTCGGGTCTGTCCATTCGAGAGGTGTGTAAACCTTTCTTCCTCTATAACGACTTTTGATCACAACTAACTTCGTCTGAAGGTTGACTTGCTCTTTGAACAAAGAGTATCCGCATGGAAGTCCAAGGAGTGGGCGCGTCAGCTCAGGGACCGGACAGTGATAGAGGGGACAGATCCATCCGGCGGAACAGACACGCTTGACATGAAATCAATGGACTTCGAGCAGAAAGTATAGGGGTACTCCCATCGCTGTTAACCAGGAACCTACTCGTGCATGGCGTTTAACGACCTCGCGATCCCTCGATAGATAGGCGGTAGACCGATGCAGCGGAATATTGCGGAGATTATCGGCCTTCAGTTGAATATAAGGGCCAAGTACTCTCTTGTAGTGTTTAAGATTGGACTCTAGTGGTAAAATTGTTCTACTGCCTGTGTGTTAGCTTTAGAAGGCTAATTACCATTATAAACGACATGAGTGTATAGCCAGTGACGCAGTCAAGCGAGCGACGCACCCAACAGACCATAGGCCTTCTACGCGCACTTAGTCAACACCACAACGTTGTACTGTAGCTTATAGTAGATGTTTTTCATGGCTGACATCTACCAAATTTTCTACGTGTGCGCTGGTTGTGCCCTGTCTCACCGCAGCGCTTGCAATGCCTTTTATAGTGCTTGCCTGTACCTGTTCGGCCTCTACCCTCACGCGTTTCCCCCTCTACCTGCAGCGCAACGTCGCAGTGGGCTATCAAATCCTCTGCCTGTCCCTTTAACAGGTCTCCATCCGCTTTCGTTTGCGTGGATTGCGCTCAGAAGCTGCCTTGTGTGGCGCTTCAGGTTGCAGCACTGGGGCTGCCAATAACGTCTGCCCATACAATGGCATTGCACAGCTGATCAACGATCCCAGTCATCGGTCCAATGCACGTTCAGACCCTGGTGCGCTGGTCTGTGGCGATTCATATGTTTGATTATCCATTAATGCCCGACTTGAGCTTCATGCGAGAAAGCCCTACAGTACATCCATTTGCGTTACATAAGGCTCCAGAAGCGCTATACTCCAAACATCCTGAGGATGTGGAAACAAGTCCCAACCATCGAACACGGCTTGACCGTACGTTTTAGCACCCGTTTCTGCATTTTCAAGTTCAGTTGCCGTGGTATTCACACTCAGTTTCGCCGAATTGTCCCCCTCTCGATTATCGTGAGTATTCTTCAACTCGTTCACCAATGCGATGGTATTGCCCGCTATCCCCCATACAGTGGCCACTTCCTCCAGAATGGCTAAACAATCGTTTAGCGCCACGTTTGCTTCTCGCGAAGTCTCTGATTGTGCATCATCGCGGTCAATGATATGTATCGTGCAAGCGTTTAAAAGAAAATGTACGACAATGAAGACAATGCACTGCGATGTGTAGTGCTGTCTATAAGTCTTGCACAGATTCATGATCTCGAAGGCACTCTCTCTGCAGATGAGTGGTGCAGAGACGGCAATATCCTGGCTTCTGGGTGGAAGGCCGTCTCTATTGTCTGACAGATGTAGAAGAAAGAGGAAGGGTCGATGGACTAGTATCTGATGACTGTGGTACGCCATGCTTCAGGGCACTCGTCAGTTGTGTTCACAATACTTAGAGATTCAGACGACGCACTGTAGCAAGAGCAGGTGCGGCAACGGCCCACTTCGTGTAAAGCTCAGTTCCAAAGGGAGCGAGCATTTCCAAGCACGATACTTCGCATGAGCGTTCTTCACAACGTCTGAGAGCTTGTTGAGGATTACACCGAGGCGCCGAGTATCTCGTCGAAGTCGGATAAGGTCGTGCTGCCATATGTATCTGTGTAGAAAGTCAGCATTTGAGGTCGAACAAAACATTGACCGTACATCTGGGAGAGTATTTCGTCTGTCAATTTCCAGAGATCTACAGCACAGCGGAACGCGTTGAGCACGCTGTTGGTATAGGTTGGAGATCCCTCTACCAGCGTGGTATCTTGTTTGTTCGTCGATATCGCCAGAACACGTAATTTGATCTCGGCTGTACTGAAATCTGTGGGATGCAGAAGACAATTCCGACCTAAGCATGAGCCGAGCATTCTATCCACAAGGACAAGGGCCCAATAAGTTACTACCCGAGTTTCGACACGACGCGGTGATAGATGGCCTGATGCGACCCACCTATTGTAGTCACGACCAGCATGAAGGCCTATAGAGCCGCCTACTGTCGTTGCAATGCCTTCTCACATCAGCACGGTACCCTGAAGCGCAGTTTTAGGTGCATACCGTGAAAAACCCACGCGCTGTTCTCGTGCCCACAGCTATACTCACGACAGGCCAGAAGACAAGCAGATTGCACTGTCTCGACAGAGGGCTTTCGTAAAGCCAAGTCCATAACGAGTTGAGTAGCCTGCGCATGCGCTGAATCGCTGCGGTCAACCCGATCCTCGTAATTCAAACGGCCAATACCATGCATGTTGTAAGTCAGAGAGAGTATGGACCAAAGTACTACTCTTCTAGCAACGTCCTCTGCACTGGGAGGGTAGGCGTTCATGAACGAATTTATGCTGCATCCTGGCAGAATTAAGACGCACGAATTTTGCCATTCCATGAACAGGTCAAGATGATGGCACATCTCCTCCGCATCTGGAAGCGCACGTAGTGCAGCCGGCATTTCCGCGATGTTGATCGGTCGTTGTGGCGCTGCAGGCAGCCTAGCGCCTACAGCTGAGCTTGTTGGGCCTCTATACTCCAATTCACCGTGTTCGCCAATCGCGAGGCCAAAACTCAGACTGCCTGGGATAACTCTGGACCATTGCGGGGTCGTCGACAAAACCGAGCTTCCTGGGCGCGCTGATTTTGTTACCATGGATGCTGCATCTTCGATATCATGACCGCGATCTCGACGTCTCTTCAGCGATTTGGCCAGCCTCCTTAGTCGTGAGTAAGTGTTAAAGCTTTGTCACATATTCGCTCGCCTACGCTGATCCATCTCCGAGTTGTACTGACATGGTAGTTTCCTACTCTTACAAACTGAGCATGGAGATTGGCCATCGCACTATTCGATGCTTAGCTGAATGGGAGGCCTCAAGATGAAACGACAGAAGAGCGGCTATGCGGAACGAACCTTGCGCTTTCGTCTGTGGCACGAAGTACATGCGTATGATGTGCGTGCCGAACGGCGTTTTGTGTCTGCTCCTGGGTCTGACATCTTTGTTTGTCGTATGAACTTAGTAGAGATGAACCAGTAAACTCGTGGAAGACGTAAAGCTTCACTCAATGGTGTGGAGCACAGATGTCTTCGGGCCGACAACAAAACAAAAGTGGGACTCCGCGATAAGACAAGAGATTTGGCTCTACCCAATACGTAAAAATGCACACATAATAACAAATGCGTACTCTACACATGACTGCAGATTGTTATTTCTGCGCTTTACTGTATATAGTATCTACTGCTATAATAATTGTAAATATAAAATAGTGTTATCTAATATGCTTTATAAGCAAGTAGGCTATATAAGCAAACAGGCTACCCTACTAACTTTGCACAATATATAGACTTTAATTAACTATAGCCCCCTCCTACTACGGCTAAAACAGCTCTTATAAGGCTAATATAAACCTTATAATCTTAGCTCTTAATTAATGCTAAATATTAACTAAGAGATCTACTACCTATATATATAAAGTTTCTTAAACTACCTTCTAACGCTAACGTGCTAGAATGTGCGCCTAATATAATTACTAGCCTAACTTAAAGAAGCTTACTAATCTAGAGAAGTAGGTAATTATTAAATATATACTTAACTTAAATATATATAGATTTGCACCTATATATAATACTATATATAATATAGCTAATAAGCTACTAGCTATATATAGTGCTAGTTAGGTTAGTATCTACTAGCTATATAACTTTATTAAGTATATAGATAGTCTTATAACGCGTTTTAATTAAGTATATAATAAATAGAGAGCCCTATATAAGAATCTAGCTCTAATTAGGAGCTAGTTTAAGCTTATAGAGTAGATAAAGGCTAAGTATAGCATCTATAATAATAATATCTATAACTTTAATAAGGCTAGCTTTATAATAGGTAAGATTATAACTTAGCTTATTAGAATAGAGTTAGAGAGAAGAGGTAGGCTAAAGGCTATCTAGCTAGGTAATTATAAGTAGGTAATATTAATTGCTATAATTAACGCAGCTAGCTAGTTAGTCCTACTATTCCTTATCTTTGCTAGTAAGTACTACCTCTCTACCTAGTATAAGGAGGATATCCTATATAACTAGATAATTATAGTTAGTAATAATAGCTAGATAAATAGTAAGCTAGGTATAGAGTAGCTAAAGTACTTTAATACTTATATAAAGACTTATATTATTAGTATATACTACCTACTTATCCTTAATAGCTATATAAGCTACTATTTTCTTAAGTTTTAAGAGCTTTATAAGAAGAATAATATCTTTATACTCTATATACTACCTTACTTATCCTAGCTACTATAGCTACTTAATATTAGCTACTTCTTACTATTAAAGCGCGCGTATAGTTATAAGGTTAAGAGCCTAATCTACTACTATATTAACTATATTACTAAGCTTAAGTTTCTACTAGCGTTTAAGGTAGTATTTAATTAATTACTTACCTTAGCTAATATCTACTTAGCTTTTTAAGGTATAGGCCTTATTTCTCTCTAGCTAGACGCTATTTTATTAAAGCTAGACGTATAGCTATATATACTATCTCTAGCTACTACTCTACTAGAGGCTCTCTAGGAGGCTTATATACTAAGTAATATATATAAGCTTAAGGCTTAATTAACTCTTATATATAAGTGTATATACTAGTATAAGAGCTTATTACTAGCTTCTACTATTAAAGTAATTAACTAGCTAAAGAAGGGTACTAAGGTAATAATACTCTCTACTAAGCTAATCTATAATTAGATTACTAGCCTTAAGTAAGCTAATAAGGTAGTATTAGCGCGTAAGTAATAGAAGAAAAAGTATATATAGAAGTAAGGGATCTTAACAAAGGGAGAGAGAAAGTATTAAGGTTATACTTTAAGTAAAGCTTATAAGTACTATTTAATTAGTTCTTAGGAATAAATACTATTAGGGAAACTAAAGGAGAGGTTTATACTAAGAAGTATAGATATAATCTATCTATCTTAAGTATAAGAGTAATAATAAGTCGTATAGAGTAGACTATCTAGCTTAAAGGTTAGGTTAAGATCTAATATTATAGATTAATACTTAGGTTAAATATAAACTATAAGGGTTATCTTCCTATATACTATATACTTAAGATATTCTATAGTTATTCTAATATTCTATAATATACTAACGTTAGATTATATTAGAATTTTATAGAATTCTTAGAATAATATATAACATGTTCTATTATATCGTTCTACTAAGACTTTAGAATAGAAGGGGTTATATTATTATTAGTTCTAAATACTAACCTTCTTAAAGACCTTTAGGTTATCCCTAAGTGTTATTAATTCTTCTATCTCTTATTTTCTATTATGCCTCTTCTAAGGTTTATAATAATAGCTTTCTACTCTAAAGATCTTTTAGGTAATAATTTAATAGTAGTACTTAATAATTACTATAATAACTTTAGCTATATATACTAAAGCTTACTAGTATCCTATATAATTTTAATAAGTAGAGACTTATAACCTTATTTAAAGGTTCTAAATAAAAATATAAGTAAGAGTAAGAAAATTATCTTTACTTTTCTATAATATTTATAGAAATTAGGTTATAAAGTAGCTAGAAGTAAATATACTATACCTCTAGGTATAGTTTTTAATTTCTATCTTTATATTAAGATAAGAAACTTATAAAGAATAATTACTAGTTAACTTTTTAACCTATAAAAATAAAGAGAACTTTAAGTAGTTAAGTATAGAATAAGATAATATATACCTAGGTTTAAAAGATCTCTTTAAGTTAGTATTCTATAGAGTTATCTTAGAAGTATTTAATATCTAACTACTACCTACTATATAGCTTTTTACCTATTACTATATAGTTTTACTCTATTAATAATTCTATATATTTTATTTTTTTTCTTCTTACTTAGCTCTATATCCCTACTAGTAAAGTTTTTCTATAGCTCTACTACCTTAGTTATCTCTATAATTACTATTATACTCTAGTTTATAACCTATCTAAGCGTAATCTATAATATTATATACTTCTTCTTTTTAGTAAGTTTTTAGATTTTAAAAATTATAGCTATATTTTTATAAAAGTTCTTACCTTAAAATTTAATTACTATTTATTAGGAATTATTAGGTGCGAAGCTATCTAGTAAATTATAGTTAAAATTATCTATAAGCTAGCTATAGCCTAAGAGACTAAAGGTAATATATACTCTATTAAGCTCCTTTATAGTATTAAAAAAGCTATTTATTTTATATACTATTTTAAATATAGAGTATTTAGCTTATATAGTATTAATTTTTATAATTAAGTTAACCTTATATAATATTATAGTAGAGTATTCTAAAAGACTAATATATTTTATTCTACTAGCTTTATAGATTTTATTAAGAGTAGATATTAACTTAGAAAGTAGAGTATTTAGGTTAATATAGTGCAGGTAATAGAGGTCTAGTATAAAGCTAAGCCTCTAGATAGTGCTATTAATATATTCTTTAATATAGCTTATAGAGTTTATAACTCCTATCTCTCTATTTAAGTATCTAATGCTGCACTTTAAGGTAACAAAGACTTTATTATAAATATTATATTTCCTAATAAAGTCTCTAAGAAGCTTTTTATTAAGGCTAGCCTAGTATATAACTATAGAGTTCTAGAAAGTGCATTTAAGTTTAATTACCTTAAGTAAAATAGGCTTAGCTTATTTAAGGCTTAAATTGCTGCTTAAGCTAAAGCTAAGGCCTATAGCTCTAAAGTCTAGCAAGGGGATTATAAGATATTAAAATAGTAGAGTCCTAACTATATTTGTTTTTCTAGAATAGAGATAACTAGTATAATAGGAAGACTTAGATTATTTAAATAGATATAACTACTAAGAATAGAACTAACTCTTAATTTATCTCCTTTATCTACTATAACGCAAACTTATTCACTCTACCTTCTTTTACTATATAAACTTACTAGCTAAATAGCTATCTTAGAAGGGCTAAATTTATTTAGCCTACTTCTATATCTAGGCGTCTTAGTGTCTAGTTATAGTAACGTTAGTAAGATCTTACTATTTTTTTAACCCTATTAAAACTAATATATCTATATAATTACTACATCTACAATAATTAAAATATTAAAGTAATTTAAGTAAGAAAAATAGATAAGTTAGTAATTATTAGCACTTAAATCTATTGCCTCTGTGTTAAGTGCTAGCAGCTCTGTTTAAACACTCTATTTTGCAATATTAGCTTGCTAGCACCTTATATAGAGCAAATTTTATTTATAGCTAAATTTATAGTTTTTTTTACTATAGAGCCTTTCTAATTAATTCTTACTAATAACGTTACTATAACTAGTGCTTACTTAATTCTGTCTCCTTTATTATTGCTAGTCTACTATTAGCCTTTAATTATAGGCCTTTATAGCAGATGCTATAACTACTAGTACTTTAATGCCTTACTAAGATATTCTACTTCTATAGCAAGCAACGCCTTTAGGATCCCTTTTATTATAATTAACTAGCCCTTATATAGTAGTATAAATTATATCTTACTAATCCTAGAAGGCTCTAACTTTACTTAAGAAAGTGCTAAGCTGCTATACTAATCTATACTTCCTAACCTTTAGTTAGAGTCTAGCATATTAAATAGTTATAATTATATCTTACTATTATCCTATAGCCTAGGTATTATAGTAGGTATTATAGTAAGCGCGCTGCATGTATAGGATAGCACTCTAGCTTATCCCCTTAGTAGGCTTATTATAAGTAGTATAGATAATGTTTAGTTAAAGACTATAAAGGGTACTATACTATTCTATCCTATAGTTAATAAATATTATAGACTATGCCTAGTAGAACTAAAAGATGCTATAATATTTAAGCCTAGTACCTATATACTAGAGATTTTGCATAAGAGCAAATATTTTAACGCTATATACCCTATACTAGAGATTATTAAGTTTATAATAACTTAGATGCCTATCTAGAAGGAGAAGTAGGCGTTACTAGTTAAGGCACTAGCTATATATTTAATAGTTAAAGATAATCTATTCTTTAAGGCTAATAAGTAGAAGAGGTA